ATTGATTTTGTTGTCAACGACAGCTTCTTCTGGAACTTCTTTTCCTTTACTAAGTAATTTAACAGCCAAACCATTTTTTGCAGATGCTAATAAGGACTCCTTACTAATGCACTCAGGTGGTGTACTTGGGACAAATATTACAGCATCTGTCACCAGCAGCGTCCTCGACTTCTTATGATAGAATGCCACCTCAACATATGGTCCAATTCCTAATTAAACCAATAGGAAAAAGTTATCAGATTTGAAACACAAGGTACAACTTCACAGTTATAGTGAAAAAATTCAGTGATCATACGTGAAATTAACCTTACTTCAGACTAAAACTAGAGCAGAATCTATTATTACGTACCAACTTCGGGAGAGCTCAAAACCTTTTGCTCAATATCATCAGCCCATGGTGTTGACAAATCTGCATCTTTCAGTGTTTTTGCACGGAAAATCCCGAAAAACTCAAGAGGCAGGTTTAAAGGCCAACTCCATTGCCTTGGTGCCACCCATACTTGAGCCTTTGAGAACTTTCTCGAAAATGGGCCAACAAATATTTTGTGCTCATATGCAAATGTAGGTAGGACAATATATTTCACAGGATATCCCATCTCTTTCACGAGCTGCAAAAGTCGAAACACACTTGTAAACATCAATATTTAAACAATAAGCACATGAGTACAGCCAAGTGTTACTAATAGTAGGCACTACTTAAACAAAACACCCTCATAATCATTTTAATCCTTGAAATACAGCAATAACTAAGCCTCGATCCCGAGAAAATTGGGGTTGGGTATATGAATTGATCTTACTTGTCTTTGTTGCTCCATTTAAGCTCATTTATATACTAAGAAAATACGTAGGAAATCCGAATGGATCCAATATTATTTAATGAAAACATGATAACTATGAATGATGTCTTCTGAGTTACCTGAATACATTCTTTGGTTGGAGCAATTGGAGCATGAACCCACAATTCACGAGATTTAGGTTTGATGACGGTCATTCTGATGTTTGTTGAAACACTGCTGAATCCGAGTGCTTGCTCTTGCTCAAATAACCATATGGTGTCTTTCACAGCCTGAGATACTAATGATATAATACTGTTAGTAGCAAAAAACAGGAGCTGAATTCTAGTTACATATACCATTGAGCTATATCTAACAATTACCCAAATTACAAGCTAACAATTCAAAAAGCAAGAAAATGTTTCTTGCTAAAATGGTTCTAGACTTCTAGATAGTAAGATTCCAAAGTCCAAGGTAGTGGTAAGGTATGCATATATTTTACCCCTCCCTAGACCCCACTTTTTGGGATTACACTGGGTATATATTATTGTTGTTGTTGTTCAGGATGTTAAAGTTTCTTACTCATAAATAATGTTTAAATAAATTCAACACTTAATTACCATCTTCATTGTTGCAGATTTAACATAACATAAACACACCAATACGGATTGTGGTGGAGTGGTAAGTACTATTTCATCCTTAACTAAGAGATATCGGATTCAAGTCTCCTTGGGTACGGAGTTCGCCTTTGTTAGGGAGCGCTTTACCTCCCAATGTGGGACTT